AAAGATTAACATTAAAATTTAGTTAAAGTCTTATAAGATTATTTCATAAAGAGTTATTAGCTTACTTGAGGATTATCACCATGCAGTGTACTGGTTGTTTGTATTGGTCGTTCATCAGTCATTATGAAAAGATACTAGTTTACAATAAAAAAAGAATATGATCATGTCTTCACTAGTAGAGACGTGCACCGCACCTGAAAAACGAGGTGCGGACGGCGGAAAAGATGACGTAAGATATGAAATAGTGACGGCGGCGGTCACCGCACCAAAGCCTTTTTGCAAGCAGACGGACTGCTCCGCACTTGTGTCAAGTGAGACGGACGGCCCATCCGTACCTCCGTGCGGCCGTCCGACGGCCGTTCGCTCGATTTCTATTGGGTGTGAACATTATAAACGTAGTTTTTCAAGATGAGGGTTCGCACATCATATCTGGTATGGTGAGCACAGGATGATAATCAAACCATACTATATTCAAGGATGGGTGTGGGTGCGGGTGATGCTATCAAGGTAGATATTGACACCCACACCCACACCCAAAATGAACAATGAATTTATCTGGTAGTAATTATTGTAGTCAGAGATGGGCAAGCCAAGTCAAAAATGACTTGAAAATTTTTTTGAATGAATTATGACTTGACTTGACTTGTGACTTGGCCGCATATGAAAGGTCAAGTCAAGTCTAAAACTGTATATATCTAAAGGCGTTTGATTGACTTCAATTTGAGTTTTCTAAATTGATATGTAGTGGAAAAATAGAAATGAAAATCAGCAAACGTGTCGACACAGTGAATTCGCGTGAAATAAGATTATGGCAGTTGAAATACATAGAAAATCTTTTCCCTCAATTGTTATTGGACATTTCATTTGCCAAAACTCTGCTTAACGGAAATACGTTGCTTTCTTTGTTTTTATAATAATTAAATTAATAAATAATTTATCAAACGAAAGTACAACCATAATATGAATCAAGGCAAACATGTTTTCGATAATTTGCCTCCAATTAAAGAAAACATGGTAAAAATTGGGTTGAGCTCCAACTTGACTTGACTTGACTTGAAATTTTTAAGACATGACTTGACTTGACTTGAATCAAAAAATCACTTACTTGCCCATCTCTGATTGCAATGACAAGATTGGCACAAGAAAGACTGTAGAGACATGGCATTGGACCATCTATTATTGTAAAAAATAAGATTTTGCTACAATGAAAACTTATTAGTCATAGACTTCAAAAATTATATTTTTGCATTTTCGTTATAAAATTGAGAACTCAGCATATGTTACTTTGTATTATATTTTTGGTTTAACAGGAAAAGATCACAACCGTTGCATGGCATCATTAAAGTTGACTTCATTTTTCTATGTCAAACTCGAGAAATTTAAACTTTTAATATCGATGAACGGCAGTGGTGCGGCCGTCTCACCGAAAAATAGTCGTACGGAACGGCCGCATCCGTCCCGCACCAAAAATATTCCGAACGCGGCGGCCATCAAACGTATGACTCATACATGGAACTGAGGTACGGACGGGTGGTGCGGTCGTCCCCGTACCCGCACGTGCGGTGCACGTCTCTGGGGTACACCAGAAGAGAATCCACATGGATATGAATTTGCAAGTATATTGTATTATGTAAATGATTTAAAAGGATATTTAATGATTATTCATGATTGAATTGATGAAGAATGTTCATTTTCGTCACTCAGCTCGTCTTATAAATACACTTATCAGAGCAAATAAACCCTATGGACTAGCACTGTTTCCTGATGAACGGCATATGCCAAGAAAACTTGATCAACGAATCTAGATTCAATTTTTCATGCTCAATCTGAAAAAAAGCAGTTTTGAAACTGGAACGAAATAAAAAAAATGGAAAAGTTGTCGGTTATCGAAAGTTGATTCTTTTTCCAGAAGTACCAGATCATCTGAAAAAACGGAAAATGTTTCCCTAAAAACTCATTCCAAAAAAAATTAAAACTCATATATTCTTGATCAGCTCGTCATGCTCTATCTAACCATAAATAAAAAAGTGCAAAAGAAATTCGGCTTTAATTTTGCATTTCCGACACCTTATATTTAATTTATTTATTTTTTAATAAGACAATTCGTAGATCTTGTTTTTGTCGTTTTTGATTATTTGATCTGCACGCACAAATTTGAGAATGGAGATCTCAGATACAGTACTGGTCTTGTCGGACCATAGTAAATTGTGTCCTGAATTTTTCAGGGACTGGTGTATAATCAACCTCCGTTTGAGATAGAGGAAGGAATGGCTCCAGGTCAGCATTGAAGACAGATGTCGGCGGCAAGTGTATGACTCGGTCATAAAAAATAATCTGTAGAATAATTACCAATGTGCATCAGTACGCTTGACGGTACGGTTGGTAAGCGCACATCGTGCGACGTTCGTGAGCGTATCAGGTGTGTTGACATGAATACCAATACCGACCGGCTGGCGTGGAATAGGTCGCATCACTCACTCAAAGTCACCTCGACTTTTAAGAAGATGGGCGCATCTATACGCAAAGTTTTTAGTAATTTCATACTATGCAGATACTGATATTGATTGATACACGACGCCATACCAACTGAGTGAACACTGATAAAAAATTTTATTACTCTCCTTCTGGTTTGATTTGAATAAGTGTTCTGTTTTTTTAGATCTATTTTACAATGGAATCTGAATATTGTATTGAAGCCAACAATGCGTTGTTTGCCGGACAACATCACATTGCCCATTCTGTATGTTACTTTCTGTGTGCGAATGTGAATTGAATGGTTTATCTTGATTTATTTCTAGCTGTATCAAGATGCACTCAATAAAAGTCGTCATTTAATGACTAATCGGTTTCGTGCGCTCGTGTTGGCATCAATGGCCATGTGCAGCAACGAGCTCCATTACTATCGCCGTAAGTTCTATGCTGAAACGAATGCGACAAGGAATATTACTAATTATCAGAATCATGATAAAAACGGAATGGGTTGATGAGCTTTGTTTTTAACCACTTTGCCAAAATGAGAATATACTGGTGTTCTCTTTTTAATGTGTTTGTCCAGAATAGATATGTCACTTGAACTTCACTTTAAAAGTTAAAGTTAAAATAGCACACTTTAACGCTTTAACTTTAAAAAAATCAGTTACAGTAATCATTTTTTTTTTGTTTCTAATATTTCATATTTTCATAGGAGTATTACGCACATTATTGCGATAGCAATGATTTCTTGTGCTAGAGTCTTGTTTTAGTAAAGTTATAAGATATTCACAGATAGAAACATTCCGGGTAGATGTGTAGAACCATCTACTTGCATCAGGAAAGATTCGATTCCAATTTAATTAGCTTAAAATAAAGCATTGAATTCGAGTTAATTTTACAGTCTCGTCTTGTACTTTATGACTACTCAATTTGTCTTATTAGGAGTACTCTGAAATATAATGAAATTGTTTTTTCTCCATTCTATTTAAATTCTTCAAGGATTTTATAATTAGAACTATGGTTGTCGATCACAAAAATGTCACATTTAAAAAAATGTATCGAATAATAAGAAAGATCAAGAGGCCCTTCGGGAAGTCCGAAAAATCATTTTTCACCTTAAAGTTGACCCAACTCAATATTATATTCAGTGATAATAGATTCATCCGACGTATAATTTTTTCTCTATCGAAATCTGTAAGCATCTTTTGGCTATTGATATTTTTTCTAAGCCACGCGTGTCAGATACCGCCCCGGTTGAGGATATTTTATTAAAATCAA